TTCCTTCTTTCTAAGGTTTATTGGTTGACATGAACAGTTTTTTCCATAAATTTTCGTACAAACTAAAGCACACCAAGCATTTTTGGACAAGCATTCGAACGAAAATTCAAAATGGTTGACATTATTGTTATAACAATCGTAAAATGATCATTTTATTATACAGGTCATAACCGGATCGGCTGAAAAATCATTCGGCAAATTTTTACAGGTGTCCCAGGAATTATGATAATAGCGGTAATAAAGTCTTATTTATTATAAATAAATTAATTAGAAATTTCCTAGATAGTTAATGTAAGCCAGATATTATATTAATGCTGGCCAGATAGTTTGGTAATGCCGGCCGGATAATTTTATTTGTAAAAATCCCGCGCGTGCCCATCTCTGACTGACTATTTTAAAATTTGATTGGTCAAAATTACAATTTTTTGTAATTTTGGGATTTATACTCGAATCTGATTGGCTAATTTCGTGTAACAAAGTCTGATTGGTTAAAAATCTATATAAACAAATTTTTTAATATATTAAACGCCAAATTTTTGATTAATAATTGTAGCTTAGACTAAAAGCAACAAATCTAACAAATCTGTAAGACATAAGCATTTTTATATTTTATATATAAAAATTGGATGTTTTTTGCTGTCCCGTACTGTACGATTTTAAATTTTACTTTCTAATAATATATATTAATTCTATTAAATTACTGGTATGTAAGTATAGGGTCCTAAAAATGTTTGCACTTTATAAACCGTAGCTCTATTGAACAAGAAGGAACGGAGGGAAGCTGTCGGAAGCCAGCAATGGCAAGTCATCGTAATAGTTGATGGCCGGCTGATTTCTTCGCTTAGTGTTACTGGAGGGTTGTTTAACACATAAAGCGTCTGCGACAGAGGGAAGCCAGTATTGGCAAGTCATCGTAATAGTTGGTGGCCGGCCTTATATGAAGAACAACTCACTTTGGTTTTTTTTTATCTCATTTGCTTTGATCAATGATATACTTAAATATTTTTCTTATTTTCTAGGCTGATAATGGTAAAGTCAAAGTCCTCACACAAAATAACAAACATAACCCAGCAAAACGACACGTTTACTAGATGCTATCCTCTCCTGATCCAACCCACTTGAATTTTTTCGATTTACATTCCCATCTCATCGAATTCAATCATCAGAAAAGTATAAGAAAACTCTATTGAGGTGAACTAAGAAAATCGGCGAATGTACGTAATTGAATGAAGTGCTAGTTTCTATCATCTAACTCTGTGTTCCATTTGTTGGCAGGACGCAAGAATTTTAGAAGACGGCTAGTGAACCCTAAAGATATAGAGCAGTGGGAAAAGAAATGTAAATATGAAGTAGAGCTATTAGAGACATTTCCCACTGCTTACAAAGGTAAATATGTACATAGGGTGGAGAGGTTAGTCCACATTGAGCTATCAGATATAAAGGCCTCTCTATTTCCTACATATTTCTTTATCGTTATAGTAATGTAATATATTTGTTATCAATTTAACAAATTTTATTGGTTTTAGAGTTTGACACCTATATCATCGTTATGGAGGACTCAAGTCGCCGCCCTCCCCTTTGCCATCAATAAGGTAATATTCAGTCGGACCCTCTATTGATCGAAATGGGACATATGTTTGGTGAACCCAAATTAAGTAGAAATCCCGAACCCCAAATCACTAAATTTTTTACTAATAAACCACTATCTAACAAAATTGTTCAGATTGGAATTTCGATATTATATAGATGACCAGCATTATTGGTTTGCTCAATAAGAAACGAAAAGCTGAAGGGTTGAATACGATTACATATATGGCATCGTAACTTTAGCTACGGCCAATTGTGCCTACCGAACCAATTGTGTACACCGGACCAATACAATATGTGCCCGCCGGACCAAGTGTGCCCAAAAGCTTGGGTTACACAAAAAGGCATAGTTTTTTGGACTTTAATTAACTTTTAAACGGCCTTATGACCTTATGTTCGATTTAATGGATAAAGGTGTTGATACCGAAGTTAATAATGATGATAAAGGAGGTGACGAAGCCAATAACGATATTAATAAAAATTAATTCTTGTAATTTTTTCTCTCAATTTTCGACACGAAAAAATCAATGTATGTGGTTGAGTCAAGCAAATATTTTTTTAATAAATTTTTTCAAAACTTTAAACAAAGATAATTCGAAAATTTTAACCAATTTATTAAAATTAATTCTGTAAGTTTGTAATATTTTTTTAAAAATTTTTTATTATTGAAGTATAGTTTATAAATAAAAATTTCCTCTTAAATATATATTAATTTAACTGTATCAATTCATTTGGACAATAAATAAAGGCTGTTCGCAATGTTATCAGTTCTTGTCTGATAATGAGCGATAAAACGCATTATGAGCATTTTCAAGATCGAATAATAGTTGTCGTACTTGTTCCTCATTTATTTCATCGCTGGCCTTCATGCTATTTAATGTGATTAACCAATTCCTTATTTTAGCTTCATGTTCTGCGGGCAGTGAGCTCACATTGTTTAAACTTTGCATTAAATCACTAAGCATTGGATGAATTTCATCCACAGCCTTCATATTTAATTTGAGCGCATCCATTAACGTGATAAAGTGCTAAATTAAAAAAAAATGAGTAATAGAAATTATTTGAATAGATATGAAGGCTAAGACATACAGAGACAGATTCTGCCACGTATTTTGCAGATTTGATAGGATCTATAGAATGTTCAATAGTTGCAGGTACACCAATTTTAAACCTATTAACTGCAGCCGGACATTTTAACTAAATAATAATCATAGTAGAATGTTTAGTAAGGAAATTTTGTTTAAACAGGTTTAGTTTACGAAAACAAATTAGAACCTTATATTCCTTCATAAATTGCTCCACATCGGGAATAAGATCGCATACCAAATTCATTGCGGTTTTATATTGAGCTATTAATTTTGCGCATGAAGGTGTATATCTAAAATACGTTGAACATAATTTGAATTATAATGCTTAATATAATGCTTATTGAGGTAAAAAAAAAGTGGTAAAGAATGTCACTCAACTCAGCGGCAGTAACTGAATCCCTAACATACGCCTTTTCCAAATGCTCCATTGTTACGATAATGGCATATACATCTGCCAAATTTTCATATTTTTCTCGATCCTTGTTATTAGTGTATAGTCGGACTTCCTGTAAAAGAAAAAAGGTTAAATCAGTTGCAATGTAGAGCAATACAGTAAATAGGCGTATGAATGAAGACGATTACCTCATCAAGCACGGAATCTAAAAACTAAATTTAAAATCAATTCATATAAAAAGATACGATCATTCAATTTAACGTAAAGAAAACTTACTATGATCTGGTGGGCTAGGAGAAAGTCCAGTTCTTGACGTACCGTACGCGGTAAGATAGCTGAAGCTTGCTGGTGTACTCGACATGCTGAATAAAGTGACCTGATGTAAAGATAATAATTTATTTACGTGATTGGCGTCGTAACACAACTATAGTCCAATCCAGGGCCGATGATTTACTGCGTTCACAGAAAACAGCAGAATTTTCCTTAAAAACAGCTAACCACAGAAATTAACTCTGGTTATCACAAGATACCACAGAATTTAAAATTAATGGCACAGAATTTCAAAATTAGAAAGTTTCTCACAGAAATCTATAGTGATAGCC